ACATACTGAAAAGGTAGCCCAGACAATATTATTGAGTTTGTGAAAAATTCAAGAGCATTTACATAAAATATACATGTCAAAATAAGATGTCAAATTTAAAATTTTGAAATTGTGGCCAAATAAATCCTAAAAACCACTCCAGAGTGGATGAAAACATCCCCAACAGCACACAAGGTTTCAGTTTATGTATATTCTATAATAAGCCTTCAGACCATAAGCCTTTAAGCTATCAATGCAGACTCCAGTTACTAACAACTGAAAAAATCCATCAAGGTGACCTGCAACACCACATCATCAATTTAGGAAAGATTGGTTTCATTTTCGCACATTCAGACTTTCTCCTTAATATCATTTCAGAAAAGTATTACTTGCAAAATATAAATAGCGAAATCACATTATCAGGCAATGACTATCAAAGTACAACATTTCCCACAGTCAAATAAGTAGTGCTAATGTTGTTTTGAAGTCATACTTGCATGTGATTTCAGACCGAATATTCAAATTACCATGGTAAACAATATAGGGAGCATGTCACAAGTTGCCACTGAATGAATGTGCAAATATAAAACCAACTTTACCTTAATATTGAAGTGTGCAAATATCTTACACATACTATCTCACACACACTCCATAAAAAAACAGAATTTAAGGTTTTCTGCAGCATCACTGATGACAAATTTGACCTCTTCCCAGCAGGGAAAAACACAAACAATAAAGAATGCACAATTAAATGGTGTCATGGCTTTACAATCAAAAACTATTTTTCTAATGGATGTTAATGGGGCAAACAAAAAAAAACAAAACATGAAAAGCCACCAACATAACAAAATAGTCAATTTGCCCAGACAATATTGCTGAGTTTGTGAAAAATTCAAGAGCATTTTCCTTAAACGTGTCAAAATAAGATGTCACTAAAAATCATTGCATTTGCTGAAACGCAGAGACAATTGTGGCCAAAAAAATCCTGAAAACATCTACAACAGCATACAAGGTTTAGGTCTATGTATATTCTACTACATAATAAGCTTTCAGGTTATCAATGCAGACTCCAGTTACAAACAACTGCCTGGAAAAATCAGGAGGAATCTGGAAAAATCCATCAAGGTGACCTGCAACATCCCATCATCAATTTAGGAAAGATTGGTTTTATTTTCGCACATTCAGACTTTCTCCTTAATATCATTTCAGAGAAGTATTACTTGCAAAATATAAATAGCGAAATCACATTATCAGGCAATGACTATGATTGTACAACATGGTTTAAAGCCAAATAAGTAGTGCTAATGTTGTTTTGAAGTCATACTTGCATTTGATTTCAGACTGAATATTCAAATTACCATGGTAAACAATATAGGGAGCATGTCACAAGTTGCCACTGAATGAATGTGTGAATAAAACCAACTTTACCTCAATGTTGAAGTGTGTAAAGATCTCTCATACACATACTCTTTCACACACTCCATAAGGGAAAAGCACCAACAATAAAGAATGCACGATTATATGGTGTCATGGCTTTACAATCAAAAAATATTTTTCCAATGGATGTTGATGGGGCAAAAAATATATATGAAAAGCCACCAACATAACAAAATGGTAGTCAATTTGCCCAGACTATATTGTTGAGTTTGTGAAAAATTCAAGAGCATTTTTCTAAAGTACACACGTCAAAGTAAGATTTGTCACTAAAAATCATTGCATTTACTGAGAAACAGAGGAAATTGTGGCCAAATATATCCTAAAAACCACTCCAGAGAGGATGAAAACCTCCCCAACAGCACACAAAGTTTAAGTCTACATATATTCTACTACATAATAAGCCTTCAGGCCATAAGCTTTCAGGCTATCAAGGCAGACTCCACAGTGACTAACAACAGCCTGGAAAAACGAGGAGGAATCTGGAAAAACCCATCAAGGTGACCCGCAACACCACATCATCAATTTAGGAAAGATTGTTTTTATTTTTGCACATTCAGACTTTCTCCTTAATATCATTTCAGAAAACTATTGTTTGCAAACTCTAAATAGAGATCACGAAATCAGTGAATGACTAAGTACAACATGGTTTACAGTTTATTAATGCTGTGCTGTTTTAAAGTAACACTTACATGCAAATTTAGACCGAATATTCAATATAGCGGTAAGCATTAGGTGGACGTAGCAAACTTACTGATTTTTTTCGAAAACATTTGGTAGGAGAGTCTCTGCTGTGATCAGGAAGTCAGGATCAGGAGTGAGAGACAAAGATTACACAGATATATATAACTTGTCTACGACCCGTAAGTATACTCAGAGACTGGTGTTAAAAGGTAATCTGTACCACAGGTTAGACAGTTTAAAGCATTCAGGCACAGAAAATTAACATTGTACAAACTTCAAGAAAGATTAATTGTATTTAGGAACAGTATATATGCAATGAATAATAATCAGTGTATTTATTTCACATTTAATTATTCAATTAGTTTTACCTGAATACTATTAGACTCCCTGAAAAACCATAAAGCATTTTTTTTTCATTTGTAACTTTGCTTTAATGTATTTATCATGTGATTGTTTCTTACATTTTATGCAGATGTGCTCCACTACAAAATCATCCTATTGCCATCAGAAATTATCATAAAATTATGAAGCTTTTCATTTCACCTGTTAAAACTATACTCAATATCGCTATATGTATCACAGAAAAATAAAATGTTGCTATGTCAGTTTTTTGCAATATCGTGCAGGCCTACACAGTACACTGGAAAATAGAACATTGCAATGTTTCTTATTCTTCAATAAATATTCACTAAATATTTCACCAGGCCCGTAGCCAGCCTGGTGTAAGGGGTGGTTCTTTTTTTCAAAATGTGGACTTTTTTGCATTTATTCACCCCATTTCTGTTTGATTTTGATGTTTAAATACTCCAATAAGTGGCATTTTGCAGCACTATTTTTAGCTGGATTAGCTTGTTGTATCCTCTTATTTTTTATGTACCAAAAATATTTCCTAAAGATTTATAATAAATAAAAAAAAAAGTCACTATTTTTTTCTAGCCCCTCTTGAAAATTAATCTAACAACAACAGCCTAATTAGTATAAACAGCAGAAGTCAGTCTGAGACACTTGAAAAATGTGGGGAAAATATTAAAAAGCCTCTACTGACATGACTATTTCTTCAAACTGCGCCTACACATTTTGATAACACTTGACTTCATAAGGGTAACCTGATGCAGCTGCAGTTTTAAGGAACAGCAATGTCAATAAAGGCTTTTTTTCCACATTTTTTGAGTGTCTTGGACTGATTTTGATGTTTATTCTGATGAATCCCTTCCTGGAGATCGAGCTCCCTGTAGATTTCAGTTGCAACCCATAACAAACACACCTGCCTGTAATTATCAAGAGCTGTTCAGGTCCTAATTAACTGGTTCAGGTGTTTTTGATCAGGGTTGGAGCTGACTTTTGCAGGAAGGTCGATCTCCAGTAACAGGGTTGAGCACCACTGCCTTACACAAAAAGCAGACACATTAAGTAACATATAAGAACTTTTTCTTTGATTTTGGATTTTTATATCTAACCTAATTAGTATTAAACTGTGTACAGAACATCATTGTCAGTGTTGCCAACTAAGCAATTTTGTTGCTAGATTTAGCAACTTTTTATATATAGCAACTTTTTTTTTCCAAAAAGCCCCTAGAAACAAATTTAGCAATAGATAACATTCATTTGGCTACTTTTAGCAATTTCTAACAAGTAACTCAGAGCAGTGACTGCCGGCTTCACTCAGCAGAGTAAATTGCTAGCTCAAATTGCATTTCATAACCGTTTATTTACTAATATTTGTTAACATTTATGATTGTTGGTAACTTGGGTAGCAATAAATTCCAATAGTGCTGTAATTGCTGTCACTTTCACAAATGTGTTAATTTCACAAGTTTAAAAAGTACAGATTGTTTAAAGGAATGTACCTGTTCATTATCAGTGTTATATGGGGAAAAAAATCTTATCAAAAAGTGTTTGTATTACTTTTACAAATAGTCAATTCTATTTTTCATACAAATCTATATGGACATATTTCAAATAATGTTTTTGCTGAGATGGCCAGTCAATTTGAGAAAACGATTATTTTTTATACTACATAAAGATGGAATTTTTATTATTATTAAACTACATAAATATGTGGTTTTGAGCTGTGATTATGCAGTGACGTCATCAGGCAAAGCTATATGTTAATTAGAACCTATATCTTTATGTAACGTTTTAATATATTATAATACACTGCACCTCAGAGAGTAAAGACATGACGGGCTTACGCTTGTCAGATATTACAAAATCACTGATATGCAAATTAGCGCGTGGCAACTTTTCGGGCAGGCTATAGCTATATGGGGCGTCTGCAGACTTGGATCCAGGCAGTTTTGCGACCCACAATTTTACGGCCCTGTTGTTCCTAATGCGTCCAGTAGGGGGATGAAAGATACATGGCCAAATAAAGTTTGAAGTCAACGCTCCCAGATTAATAAATGTCCTGTTCATAAATATTTATTCTAATTAGATTACGCTAAATATGAACGCTAAGTTAATGTATCAGAAAGTGAGTTATAAACTCACTATTATAATATGCAGAATTGATACTCTCAAAAAAAATAATTTCAGATTAAATTATTAAATAATAATTAAATAATAGATAAAATAATTTCAGCAAAAGCCCAGTTGCAAATTAATATAGATTTAATTAGAAAAATTAAAAACACAAATAGTTGGATAGTGTAAATGTTAATAGTAGCCTAGTTATACGTTTTCATATAGAGATATGCATTTTGTTCTATTGTTTATATGTAAAGTTGCATTTTGAAAATAAAATTATAACCAAACAATAGTGTAATATGGAGTAATGATGTGCTTTGATGATGCGGTGGTATTGACTACCAGCCAGCTGCAGAACGTTTAGACAAACAATTCACTCCTTTCTAAAATTCAAAGGACCATTTAGCTACCTGACAAACAAAAACCCAGACATTAGATTTCTTTTTTTACATTTATTTATTGACAACAATATCATTAGATTGGCAGCTTTCTTAAAATGAAGCTGAATCCTTGCATCAAATTCTTCATGCTCACTAAAAAAATAAACAAATAGTTATGTATAAATACTCTGCAAAAATCCTTTACGCACTTAAAAGTTTGATCTGCTTCTAGACCAAATATCTAAAAATTCTTAATCCCCCAAAAAAGGAAAGAATGGCAAATGAAAAGCAAAAAAATAAATAAATAAAAAAATCATGCCATTTTATATATTACCTAGACCAATGCGAAAACTTATCAAAATATGTTTTTATATATTTGATTTATTCTTTAAGAATTATAACAAGGTAAAACAAAAGGACCAAGACATTTTTATTTATTTTTTATTTGCAGCTACAAATTGTGATACCGACTTTCCCATATTTTATTATTTTCTTTGTAACAAATTGTAACAACAAATATTAGAAAACAACAATATTATTGCATGTGCAATGCAAACTTCATAGCTAATATACAAAATGCACTGTATAGCTATATAAATAAAAATCAGTAGACCATTTAAAATTGTGAGTTTCTTTGCATATATTTATATATATATGATAGTTTAATTGTTTAAACTAGAACATTATAGCATTATATTAAATGTAATTGAATGCAATTATGGTTGAGTGTGGTATAGTTATAAAGGCTTAAAAAAATACTGCACTGCCTCCCTCTACTGGAGGCATCGGGAACAACAGGGGTGTAAAACTGCCTGGGACGTAAAACTGCTTAGGCCGTAGATCTGTCCGGATCCAAGTCTGCAGTCTCCCCTCCTCTTGGAAATAGTTGGCAACACTGATGGTCGTATACACTGAAAAAAATAAATGCTGCAAACAATTTATGTGTTGAATTTAAATAAAGTAAATTTAGTAAAGTTCAACTTAATTTGTTTAAATTCAGCCCAAATAAATTGTTTACAACCACTTAAATTAGTAAATGCAAAGATTCATATTTGAATATTTTTAAATGTACGGAATATGGTTAGTCTACGTTAGTCATATATACTGTACTATATAACTGAATGAATGCGCGAGTATAAAACCAACCTTACCTCAATTCAACATCACTCATCCTGCACAACAAATGGAAGCCTGCTCTCATAAAAAACACCCCAAATATTAACAAACACAACCTGAATCTAGTTTATTCAAAAAGTGGCACATCTACATATACAAATAAATAAATGTTTAATTCAACATTCACTCTACAATCACTGTCTGGATGACGACGATAAATAGACTGAGTGATTCACAAAAACTCTTTAAAACAAAGCAAACTTTAGTATAACAGTTTCTCGTTTAGGCTAACATTAAGCAGAATTCAATCGGGTATATGCCGAGCTGGTGTTTTTCCCATACTGATAAACTTCCGGTGACCAGTTATTGTGAACTTTTTTCGTTTTATACGGTTCCCTTTACAGTATCCATGTTGTTATGTCATTAAAATACATTCAGTTAAATAAACGTTGGCATTTATTTAGTTACTTAAGCATAAAACGAGACAAAAAACGTTTGTTCGCACGCGCCCGTCAGAATCGGCAGGATAGTGTAGAAGCTCCATTGAATATACTGGGGTAAAATAAATACTCGTATTACAAAGATTATTTATTAAAAGTCATATTATTATGTTTCGGCATGTTTGCCGAAGCATGCTAATAGGACTTTTAATTTGCCAGTAACCTGGGTTAAGCGCTTCCGGCGAATTGAATGCCAATGCAAAATCGGTGCGTTTAAGGTGTTTTCTTTAAAAATCAGCGATCTCCACTTACTGAGTGATATCCTATTTAAAGTGGTTCTCAGATTGTACAAGAAACACTACATTAAATTACATGTTACCCCGCCATGTCTTTTTAATATGAGCATTTAATACTTCTGCGCTAGCTTGCCGATTCTGACGGGCGCGTGCGAACAAACGGCTTTTTGTCTCGTTTTACGCTTGAGCAACTAAAACACCAACGTTTATTTAACTGAATGTATTTAATTACATTACAACATCGATACTGCAAAAGGAACCGTATTAAACGAAAAAAGTTCACAATAACAGGTCACCGGAAGTTTATCAGTATGGGAAAAACACTAGCTCGGCATATACCCTATTAAAATGCAAAGCTATTATTTTCACAAACAAAACTTTACTCAATTTAAACTGGGCTGCAGGTTAGCAACACCGCTACGTTGATCAACAACACAAACGAACATTATATACCTTTTGTAAGCTGCTTTACAGATGGGTCTCAAACTCCTGGTGCGATGTTGAGGATGATGTGTCGACCTCAGGCCAAAAAGCTTTTTGGCGGTACACGGCGTGGGTTCCATCGAGTGTTTGGGGCGTTTGTTAGTTTGACATTATTATCGGAGAACTTAGCAAACTATCGCACTGGCAAACAGGTGAGCCAGCTGACGTGCGTATTTATACCAAAATCACAACCTTCCCCGCCCCTGCGCGCCAACGTCACTACACCCGCCCTCCACATTTGCAATCACGTGGTTTTGGTGAGGCGCGAAATTCAGATGGAGGAGGGCAGGAACACAGAGGAAAGGCCGTATTTTTGCGATGTATATCATATTTCAAAGGAGATACAAATAGAAAATTAGCATATATGATGGGCATAATCCTTATATTATGACGAGGGCCGAGTTTTCCACTGAAGTAAAGTATATTAGCCTGCCATTGAGGCAGCCACAGTAGATAACTTCTACAGTATCATAGATATATACACTAGATATCGCATAGGGACCCTGCGCATGCGTCTATAGCGCCGCCACATTTGTACAGTGCTCCCAGGACAAATATCGTTCAACAGCACTAGTCGAGACAGTGTTACTACGTAAAGATGCTGGACTTTAGCGCTGTCTACGGGTGTAGTAACGAGCAAATAAAGAAAACAAAGCACAACGGCAGAACATTTCATAGGTAAGGTTTAGTTTTTTTACGTTTTTGTATATTATAGTCGGCTAGTGAAGGAGTCGTTCAACGGAGATTCATTCATATGAGAGGTGAAAGGAGGAGAGAAGGAGTGTTTCAGGACATGGATTAGATCAAATTATGTAACAGTATAAGCTTTTTTTTTATTTTACTTCACTTTTAAATAACAACAGGCATTTCAACTTCATTGTTAAACATATATAACAATATATCCAATCAGCATATAATAAGCAAAATTAGTACACGATAATAGTAATAATAATTACATAAATAAACCTTAAATAATACAAAAGTAAATACATTACATTCAGCAGGGTGAGTCCATATAAGCTGACAAAAGCTTAAAGAGTTTAGAGACATCTTTTGTTTTTACCTGTTTTATGAATTTATATAAAATGTTAAAATCATTTTTAAATGCTTTGAAACAAGGAGAAACTTAATCTAAATTTGTGAATATAACATTTTGCTACAATAAACATATTGTTACACAGAAATTAAATTCTTTGTTTTTTAATAAAAATGACAGACTTCACAATGTGATAGTCAAACGCAGGTATTAAATTGTTTGTCATTAACCACTTTTACAATCTGTCCCAAAAGGATTTGACAATAGAACAGCTAAAAAAAGATGTTCCTGAGATCTTTCAAGCAGAAAATAATAATTATTCATTTATGGATATTAAATGTAACAACAAGGTCCTGAGATCACTACTGACAAAAGAATATTTTCCTCTTCCTGTTAAAAGAAAAATTTTATCTAAACCACACACTATTGAAGTTAAAAAAAGATACCTGTCATTTCCCTTGTTACCTAAAATGAAAGAAGTACATTTCAAAACAATTAACAACATTTATCCATGTAATGAATTTCTTAGAATAAGATTTAATTTAGAAAGTAATGCTTGTATTTTCTGCTACTATAAGCTACATGATAAAAATAATTTTTATTGTGTTCTAACAATACTATTAACCATAACAATGGATGACATCAAGTACAATAATAAACAAAGAAAATTATATATAAATAAATAAATACAAATAAAACAAATTCATGTACAATAAAGAGACATATTTTAACATTATGCTACAATGTTTGGCCCCCTGGAGTAGTACCCTGATGACCTCCTCACATCTGCAGTTCTCCAGACATCCAGTGTTCTCCAGCCTCCGGCATCTAGACAGCAGCTCCGTACAGGAAGTTTGGCCAGAGGAGAAATGGTTGAGTCTGTTTTTTCTCAAGGTTTTTTCCTGCACTTTCGTCAATTGGTGAAGTCAGTTCCTCACCACTGTCTCCACTGGCTTGCTTGGTTTGGGACTTATGGAGCTGCGCATCGATGGATTTGCTCTTCAGAGTTTGGACTTTCAGCAATGAAAATTAAACCAGACTCAACTGAACTGAATTCTGAAAACTGGACTGAAACAGTTTCAATTCACTCGAACTTCTATGTTAAGCTGCCTTGACACAATCTACATTGTAAAAAAGCACTAAATAAATAAACATGAATTAAATTAAATAGTAAACTAGGATTTAACTACTAATTTGATTTTACTGATCAGGCACGATAATAAATATTTGTGAATCACTCCTCATGAAAAATGAAGCACAAACCTCCTGTTTTTAATCCCAGATCTTTCAATAATACATCCTACCATGCTTTGAAACAACAGCATGTGCTTTCTACAGCTTCTAGTGTTTATTTTGGTCAATAGTCAGTTGTTAGAATAGAAATCTGACCAATTCTCCAAAATAACTCCAAATGCCTTGACCCTCCACATTAGGGGTCATGGCCATGCCCTGTGAAGTACAGCTTTTATCTTGACTGAACAGCAGATTCCTCAGGCTTCCTCGAACCCTTCACACACAGCAGGGGAAAGCGAGTCATAATATTTCATTCAACAAAGCGTCCACTGAGCTTCACAGGAAATGGACGATGTCTATAAGCACAGCTTTCTTGTTGTCCACATTCCAGCTGCAGTAGGTCCAAATAAAGTCATATCTGGAGAATCGCTGTGGGTTGACCATCAGCACAATAACAACTCAAATCTCCACTGTTTGGTTTTCCAGCTTTGTGTTTCTGTTTCCAGAGGGAGACCCATGCCATTGTCTGAGGCACAAACATCCTCACACACTTCCTGTGGGGGAACGGCACTAAATCTGTGAGTCATATTAGCATGGTCTGAACACTAGCAGGCATCTAATGAGTGTGACAAAGAGTGCTCATAGGGACTTGTATGGCATTTCCATGTTTTCTTCCTGATTATGATTTGGCATTCGTTGATCATAATCATTGATAATGGTTCTTACATTGACAGTTCAGTGCGGCACGGTGGCTCAGTGGTAAGCACTGTGGCCTCACAGCAAGAACTGGTTCTAGCCTCGGCTGGGCCAGTTGGCATATCTGTGTGGAGTTTGTATGTTTTCACCATGTTCGCGTAGGTTCCCAACAGGTGCTTAAGTTTCCCCCACAGTCCAAACATGCGCTATAGGTGAATTGAATAAACTAAATGTGTGTGAATGAGTGTGTATGGGTGTTTTCTAGTACTGGGTTGGAGCTGGAAGGCCATCTGCTGTGTAAAACATGCTGGAATAGTTGGTGGTTCATTGCACTGTGCTGACCTATGACAAAAAAGAGACTAAGCTGAAGGAAAATGACTGAATGAATGAAAACGATAGTTCACTCAAAAAATAAAATGTATTTGTGTTTCTTTCATCTGTTGAAAAAAAAAAAATATATATATATATATATATAGAAGCTAGCTTCTACTACAAATATATATATATATATATATATATATATATATATATATATATATATATATATATATATTTGTAGTAGAAGCTAGCTAAGTGAACCTCGCTCCTCTGACCTCTAAAGGTGCTCTAGCGACAGACGCTAGAGGTCAAGGTCTTTAGCCTCCTTGTTAGATCAACCGACTCCCAATCAAAGAATTACCGGTTTAATCCCAGCTCAGCCTGGTTTATACTTGACGCATCCGCTAGTTCGCTTGAGTGCGCGCTGCGAATGTGACGTCATCGCAGAGTTTGCAGATGTTCGCTTTAGGTGCGCATAGCATGATTTCGGCTGGCGTGCGCATGTTTTTTTTTTTAAACTCGAGTTGAATATGAAACACTCTGAAGAGATTTTGTCTGAAACAGTAGACTGTACACACATCTTTATGATCTGTGATCATGGAGATAACCGAATGATCAATAATTCTTGGCTATAATTGCAACAGCCGTGGGAAAAGAGAACGTTTTTGTTAAAATGTTTGGAAAAACCTGAAGGATAAGTTTGTTAAAACCAAAAGAGGTCATGGCAAAAGTGGAGACCCAGGTACACAATTACAGAATATGTTTCGCAATTTTGAATTTAAAACAATTGAATAGTTACAAAACTAAAATGAAATCACAGAATTAATTCTTTGATATCTGAGAAGGAATATTTAAACCTATCAGTTTACAATA